CTCCGACGGGTGCACACTCACGGAGGCGGAGGATGTGGTTCTGGGGGTCACGGCCGAGGACATCGTGGTTCACGCCAATCTCCGTCGCGACGTACTCTGCAAAATCTTCCGGAGACTCTTGTGCCTACGGAGCCTGGACGACGTCGCCTGGCTGAGGCATGTCCCCGAGGAGTATTTCGACCGGGCTTATAAGCGCGCAGAGGAGACGAATTGGGCGATCGCGGTGGATCGCCCCTGACCGCCTGTTCCAACGGAGCCTCACGAGGCTTCGGAACCGTCGGATGGTGATGACGACGTCCCAAGCACTCCCAAGAAAGGTCGTTCCAAGAAGAGGGCCTCGGGGGCTCTGCTCCCGCGACTTCTCCGCGCGGCAAGAGGCCTCAGCGTTCGGGGTCCCAAGGTCAGGGTACTCCAGACGCGGCGCACCGTATGGCTCGGCTCCCTGAAGTGTCGTCGGACGTCTCATCGGACGGGCTCGACTCTCCAGTGCGTCGGCGTAGGTTGTCACTTCATCGGAACGCTGCTCCCGATTTCTGCCACACCGATACTGCGGACGCCATCTCTTGGTTTGTCAACGGAGTTCAAGTGCATCCGGTAGGTCAGTCTGGGAAGCACCGGATTCGTGGGTTCCCGGACTACGAGGTCGTACCCACCTCGTCGGCGGAGGCGAAGGGTCGCCTGAACATAGCCGATTACTTGGACTTGGTGGATGGTTCCGGGCCTGGGGAAGACGCCCCCTGGGACACGATGTTCCGGAACCGAGAAGAGGTGTTTTGGTTCGCCTGCAAGGAGGTCTCTGAGGAATGCCCCTCGGGCTTCAGTGACGGCTTCATGATCCTCGCCTCGGAGTATGTATTACTCATGATCGTGCATCGCCGGGCTCAGTGGGAGCGTGACCACTGGGTGGTGTTCGACCGTTCCAGCGAAGCGCAAAAACAAGTGTACCTGGACCGTGCCTCTCGCCAGAGGGTGTGTTACAAGGAGCCGACAAAGTTAAGATAGCATTGCTATCGGCGCGGGAGCGGAAGTGGTTTCGTTGCGAGCCTGGGCTCTGGCGCCGTCCCAGCTTCCCAGTCGCATGGGTCCCACTGCCACGTGGCGACCACACCCCATCTCTCCGTGATCAGTCTCGGGCACTGGACCGCCGCGACCCAGCTCGCGTTTACTGGGGGCTTCCGGGTTCGACTTCGCGTCTTCCAGAAAGCGTGTCCCCAGCCACTTGGGGGACTGTGGTCGCCGCCCCTCACCACCGCATCTTCATCCCTCTTCCTGATGACTTGCCTGCGGAGTTCGTGGACTAAATGTTCCACCCCAGGCCCCTGAGGACTTAGGGGCTCCTCAGGGGCCTGGGGTGGAACATTTAGTCTTACTTACACCAGCTTAGAGATAGAGTTATATCTCTGGTGCATCACATCAGGGCACAAAGAGATAGAGCGCTGCCATGCCCCTGAGGACTTAAGCTCTTCAATACATCTCGGAGTTTGTCTTCGTCTTGGACTTGTTTGTTCGTCTTCAAGTCTTCATGGCCTTCTTTTGAGAACATGTATGTGCCATGTAAATATGCAATCACTTGTATCCCAGAGAGTACTCTCGTCTTGAGACACAAGGACACGCCAGGGCGCACTTTTGGCAGTGGGCCCCGGGTCCACGCCCCAGGAAACATGCACTTCACTCATGTCCCGGAGAGTGATCTCATCCGGGAACATGAGGTTTCTGGGGGACACTCCAGAACCTACTACTAAAGTAGGTTCCGGGTCCACGCCCCAGGGCTCTACCGGACGTTTTCGTCCGGGAGCTCGTCTCCAGACTGCATTGCCTGGAAACGCACGCGGGCTTGCTCTCCTTGATCAAACTCATAGAGCAGTCTCCCGCAGTTGAGGCGTCCTTGGGGAGCCCAGTCTGGAGCCTCGTAGCCTTTCCATCTCACAAGTTATTCCTTGACGCGCCGGCTAGTGCGGGTCCGGGTGGCCCAGCGCACGTCGAGTATAGCTTCAACCTCGTACTCCCCGGAACCTTCACCAGGTTCCCAACTATCTTCACGGAGCAATGCAGCGTCGAAGTCATCGTCTTCGGGGATGCCTATGATTCCCGAAGGCCGCTCCGGGTATTTCGCTCGGGGTTTCAACCTGCTAACGTGAGCCCAGGGGTGAAACCGGTATTCCGTACCCTCGACCTGGAGGGGGGTATCGGAATTCACTACTCTTTTCCCGGATTCGGAACGGGCCGCGCCAGAGATGTGCGAGCTTCTTGGTGAGTCCGGGACGGACTCGGGCTAGGTACAACCATACTGATCCCCCGACCTCGAAACCCTCTTGCAGTGGGTCTGTAAGCTGCTTCCACTTGCGGCTGTGGTATTTGACCCGGCGCTTCTTGGTTTTTTCTTGGAGGTCCCGGGCCCAGGCCCTCGCGTATTCCACCTGGCGTTGTACCTTGGTGCGCCATTCTTGGGCGTCCCGGAGCTGCACGTCTCGGGGAACGTCTCCCATCATGGCTTCGACGGTACCTTGGGCATCCCAACCGTGCACCAGGTAAAACGGCGTGTCGAGTCGGGTGAAGTCGAAGGAGGTGTTCAGACATGAGCTTTTCGGCTAACTCATCCCAGTCACTTTTGTCCACAGTCTGCACGTACGCCTTAACGCTCCGGATCACCGTTTGCACAGATCTCTCTTGTTGTCCGTTGGCCTGGGGACGATAGGCTAGGGTTGCCTGCTCCCGAGCATCTCCCAAAAGTGCTTGAACACCCGGCCCATGAAGCACGGGTCTCGATCGTGACGGATCATCTCACTGGCCCCGAACCTCCGGAACCCGCACTCCTCATAGGCTTCGGACACGTCTTGGGCTTCGGTGCTCGCCATGGCCTTGCACATGATGAACCCCGAGAACGCGCACTGAAACAGGAGCAATGCCGTATTTCCCCCGGGGGACCGGGGTAGCGGTATCACGAAGTCCATGGAAACAACCTGGAACGGTCGCGTAGCCAACATGTTACCGGGCGACGGTCCTGGGTTCCGGGGTAGTCCCTTGGCCGTGACGCAGTCAACGCATTCTTTGACATATCGCTCGGTGTCCTTGAACATGCCGATCCAGTAGAACTCCTTGCGCAGCCTCTCATAGACCCGGATGATCCCTTGATAAGCACCTTGGAAGCCCGCGTGACAGTGGTGCAGGATGTCCTCCTGGATGTACTGGGGGATTACCAGACGGAGGCGGTCTGCGGTGTCTCGGGGACGTTCCGGGGTGTTCCGACTCACATAGAACAGGGCGTCCCGGGCGTCCAACACAAACTGGTCCGCTATCTTGGCCAAGTGTGTCGTTTGTTTCAGGGACAAGTGCTCAGTCTCTCCCCGGAGGAACTTTACCAAAGGCGCTAGCCCCGGGTCGTCTGCCGGGTGAGAGCAACTCCTTCTCTCGATCCCTGCGGACATCTTCGGGATCTTCTTCGGAGTCTTGGCAGTCTGGGCTCCGGGAATCGGCTGTCGGCTCGTCCTCCAGACCGTCGGTTCCAAGGTCATTGGTTCAGGGGCCGTCGGTTCCGAGGTCATTGGTCCCGGGACCGTCGGTTCCGGGGTTGTCGGTTCCAGAGTCGTCGATCCAGGTTCCCGGAACCGACTTCTCTGTGGCCTTGGTCTGTCTGGACTTCGAGCGCGTCACCGCGAACACGTCGCCTCTTGAACCTCTTGGGGAGCACTTGGGTATATTCCGAGCTGTGGCTAGGAACGTCCACTCCACCAGCGACTGTTCCCGGGGGCTCAGGTCCTTCATCAGTTTTTCGTGGATCCGGTTCAGGCCTTGGAGCAACTTGCGTTCCCCGGGGTCCGTGACCTCCAATGATGACTGGTCCTGGATGACTCGCTTGGAGATGTAGTCGGCAGCAGCGTTGAAATCTCTTTTCACGTGCACTAGGCGTAAAGACTTGAGCCTAGCTTGGAGCCCTTCAGCCTCCTCGAGTAACCTCAACAGGTGGGGCTGGGTACAACCAATGACGCCCTGGAGCTGCTGTATTGCGCGTCGGGAGTCCCCGACCACAACCGGTTCCTGGACCCCATGTCTAGAGCGAGTTGCATGCCCTTGCCTAGTCCAGAGTACTCGGCCTCATTCACGGTACCTTTCTCCAGAAAGTGTCCCGTGGCCTCGACGATGTCCCAACTCGGGAGGCCCAGAGGATGCAAGCAGCGCCCCCCCCGACCCATCTCTCTTGGCGGCTCCGTCGAAGCTCAACAGGTGCCTGATATGGTCACTAGAGAGCGTTTCCAGGCTGACTGGTGGTGTCTTGATCCGGGAACCCTTTTCTGGAACCGGGGTCTCGGCGACCTCGTCGAGGCGTTCCCGGGGGTGATACCTGCTCCCAGGATCGCTGCCAAACCATCTTCGTCGTTCTCAACTCGTCGAATGTCGAGGCCAGGGAGACAGATTGACCGCCCACTTGAGGCATCTTCCGTCCACCGTCTTGGACTTGAACAGCCATGCCAACACCGAGTACCGGGTGTACACGCGAATTTTCTTCTCGGAACAGCTGGTAATCATCGTGTGGCATGTGTTCAGGACGCGGAGCAGTGCTAAAACCTCCTTCTCGGCGGGATGGTACCGAAGCTCGGCGTCCTGGAGAACTCGCCCCACGAACCGCACAGGTACTATGGTGCTGTCGTGGTCCTGCCCCAAAACCGCGCTGATGGCCCAGGGGTTGGCAT